TTATCCTAGAGTTTAGATATATATTAAATATAAAGTTTGTTAATTGGTATTGTTTTTGATCATAGTATTCGTCCGGCCATTTATCTAGCTTTGTTGTTTGTTTTTCACATTCTTCTAGATGTTTGATTTCTGCATTAAGCGCAGGTAGAAATTTATATTCAATAAAAATTTATCAAAGGGCGTAAAATAATAAATTATTTAATTTGCGTATTCTAAAAAGCATGACATATGTGCTATTATAAGTATTAGTGTTTAATTAGGTCAATCACTGTTTTATCCAAGTTCGACCTTGGCATTTATAGTCAGTAAAGCATAAGCTGGAGTTAAAGAAAGTTTAAATCATTGAAATCGACATTGTATTTTAGATACATACATATGTATATCTAACAATCAGTCTAGAAAAACTAATAAATGACCATAACAAAAAAAAAGATGCACATACAATGATCATGCTGTCCAATAGAATTCAAGATTTCGAACACAGCAACTTGTCTGTAAACCATACACTTCGTACTATATTCCTGGTATTTGTTTCACTACATTCCTGGTATAGCTTGTCAAATAGGTGATAGACTGTGATTTTAAACAACTTGACAATTAATGTGGTAGTAGGAAATAGTATGTAGTTGTAATATGTAAAGGGTGATATAGCTAATTGCTTATCGTTATTATTTTGTTAGTCTATAAATTTTTTTCGATTGTATTTTTTGTTAAAGTTACATGAATTTTTGGTGCTTGAAATATTTGTCACGTGATGTCCGAAACTTTTTTGGGTGGCGATTTTACCCTGGTCGAAAATGACCCTTCGGACTTTCAATTATATTTTGTACCTGACATAATTTATCTAATTTATTAAGGATCGTGTCCGATACCAAATATAATTGAAAGTACGGTGGTCATTTTCTCTTGGCAGCACTCATATGCCAACTACATTCGTGCTTGTAATAAAATATTTCTAGTAAATTTCGAGCCTTTAGGTTAAGGACAGGATCTCATCATTTGGTAAGGGTTCGAAAATATTATTTTATAAAAAAATTTCTATAATATGTAAAAGATGGTTTTTATACCTGATCTTGAAATTTGATTGTTCAACAGAATTTTGTTTCAAGCCTAATCCCTAGGTTCACATAATTCGCATAATTTACAATTTATCACACACATAATTTGGTAATTGCCGGAACATAATTCTGGACACTCTTGTGTCCGTAGACTTTCCGTTGTGATAAACCTCGTAGATCACGTGAGGATTTTTTTTGAACTCCACATGCATGTAGAATTATATACTTTTTTTGTTTATTCTTCGTAGTTTGATTTTTTTTAAAAAGTATTTTAAACTGTATAAATAATGTAAAATTAAATAGACTTAAACAGCCAATCATACGAAAGTCTTCCTATAGCTAGTACGTACTTTTAAAATTTATATACGTCCGTACTAGCTTGCGTTACCGTACCGTACTACTTTACTTACTAGCTCGAAATGTCCCATAATGTTCGGAAATTTTCCGTTTGTTCAAAAAATTTAACACTTTATTACATCATAACTGATTGTTACTATCGTTACTACCTCCGTCTATAGATTCTAAATTCCGTTTACAGCTGTTCTCATAAATTCTGTGACAAATTAAAAATTTGTTCTTTATCCGAGATCTTTTCGGTTTCGTCCTGTAAATCATTGACTTTCCGGAAACTATATCGCTATCTTCGAACCTTCAGTCCGGAAGCAGTGATGAGTTTCTGGAGAGCTGGATGTTTTACAGGATGAACCGAAAAGATTTCGGGTAAAGTGAAATTTTTACTTTGTCCCAGAATTTATTAGAACAGCCGTAATAAAAAGATCATCGGAAAAATATCAGGACACTTAATGCCACAATTTTATGCACTGTGTAGGGGTTCCAAATAAAATATCCAAATCCAATAAATATTTTTATTAAAAAAAAGTTTGTTAGACAATTTAAAATCTATTCACAAAACATTTTGATGAAAAAATAAATGGCTTACTAATTGTAAAGTGACATAAATTATTTTTAAATTTACAAATGGCCAATTAATAATTAACATAAATTGACAAATGGCACAGAACATAAAGATTCCGATTTATTTAAAATTTTCAAACCTTTCGTGGCGGAATCATAGGTCAGACTCTAGCACACTGCCACAAATGTAATGGAATATTTACAAACATACTATGGCTTAGTTTGAATCTTCAAAAATTTAAATATGAATAAAAATTTTTTTATTGAATTTATTTGAAAAATTCATTATTCCTGTTAAAAATTATTAGAAATGTCAGATATTTCTCATGTAATTCCAATCGAGGAAGCTCCAGATAAAAATAAGAAAATTTTGGAAATTGCCTGTTCGCCTAACTTAAAATATGTTGCTGTGTTGTACGAAAATAGCAATATTAGTCTTTTGCCAATTGTTAGTCAAGAGCAATATTTAAAGAATGACAAAACAATTAATATTGGCAACATTTACACAAAAGAAAATGGTGAAAGAATATTTGCAATTTCTGATTATAAATATGTTGCAATAAGTCTTGACAGAAACAAACCTTACAATTTCAGTAAGTTTTGCTCAAATTTAATACTATTGTTATTTCAATAAAACTAATTGAATTTATTGTATTCATGTTCATTTTTAAAGAAATTTCAATTTTGAAACTGAGAAAGAAGTATCATTAAATTTCCAGATTGGCAAAAGGAAATTGATTTCTTAACTTTTATTAATAACCGGAATATTATAATGGTCAATACTAAATATTACAGAGCATACGTTTAAATCAATGATTGAGCTAAAATATTTTAAAAAAAATTATATTACTCCTAAAGGCAAATTGGTCATATTTAATGATACAATTTATGAGATTACCATGTGGGACATTGAAGAATTATCGATTAAAACTCATATTTTAATAGATTGGCATTTTACACCCGAAATAATTGAAATTAGCGATGATGAGAATTATTAGTAGTATGCGCAAGAAGTGAAGAAACCAATGTAACACGTTTATATGCTTTTTCCATTGAAACTGGAATGAATCTGTCATACCGAAGTTTTTGTATGAAGAATAATCAATGATCATATATAATTCTTTTGGATTTTTTTATATTAACTTTTGATTTTTAGTTACTACAATGTTGGTAATAGATAGATTTCACTTGATTGCTTCTAGAAAAGGAGAAAGATTATTATTTATTTCAGGAAAGCAATATAATTTAGTAGACCCTTATAATCTCAAACATCCAAAAAGTGCGAGCAAGCTTTTTAATAAAAAAACACAAATTCAAGAACCATACATAATTAAATCGAATGAAGTGTCGGATAAAACAATTTATGCGATTGACGGAAAATTGTTAATCGATGAATTAGTGCCTGATAATACTGATGATTGGGTCAAGTATTTACGAAAAGAACTGAAAGACATAAATAGCATTACAGCCCTGTCTAAAAAGACAATTGATATTATAAATAAAATTATAAATAACAAATTAACTGATTATTATAATGTTGGCAGAAAAAAAGAATTTACTGGGGAATCTTTAAAATGGGGATTAGAAGTAGATGATTTATCAGTCAAACTTACAGTAATTGATTATGATCTTCGCAAGAAACAATGGAAATCAGATGATAAAAAAAAAGAGTCTGGATATTCTTCCATCATTTTATCCTAATGGAAGAAATTTTATACTACATTGTGAAGTTCTTGAAAATGATGATCTCATTATGATTACACGTATTGGTGTAATTATTTGGTCGTATAAACCTGACTTTAGGTTGGGTGACATTAAGGACATTAAGATGCATTATTATTGGAATTACTGGAATGGTCGTTTAGATAAATTCGAATTTGAAATGGTAAAATTTAGAAATTTCTTTATGGATAAAATTTCAAGAAGAATTCTTCCTGCTTCAAGTTACGAAACAATCTATAGAAATTTAAAAGTTAAATTCGGAAAAGAAGAAGTACAGCTTTTCAGGACATTTTTGAAAGATAATGTCTTTGAAGATTTTTATTTAACTTGCTACGGAAAAATTCTTATGGAAACATTTATTAAATTAAAGGATGATAAATGGGTTCGATCTTTAGGCAAAAGCTGCTTGGTTAAGTTTATACAAGATGATAATCATTTGATTTTAAAAGTTCTTTGGTGAGTATTAATTTTGAAAACTTTAATGAATTATCAAAAAATCATCCTGCATTTATAGCAAGTACTTTATCTTTGATAGGATTTGTAGTTCCTTCTAAGATTGAAATTTCAGACACCATTTCTTCAGATCTTTCCAGTTATGGAAGATACATTTATTGATATATTAATTTCTAATTTTTGGGATCGTTGGATTAAATTTCAAAATAGTCATCCACTCTTTCGAGATTCAATTGTAAGGCCTGTTATCAATTTTTATTATAGAGGTCATATTGTAGGTCATAGTTCAACAATACTTGCAATTCCTTTACCAAACTTAGTTTATTATCCAAAAGAATATAACTTTTGGAAAGAACTATTGCTACCTAGTCCCAATCCGTTTACACTTTCAAATAAGCTTGAAATAATAAAAGAATTTTATAGACATTTAAACGGAGAAGCACTACTTAGATTTAAATGGAATGCTTATGGAGGGAGATATTATTTTGCAGCGTGGACAATTTATACAGTTTTCTTTTTAGTTTCATAATTGCTGCAACATATTACAAAAGTATTTTCAAACTAGTCTATTTATTCTCCTAAACATAACTATTTATCTTGGGATTTGGCACATATTTTGTGAATTACGTCAAATTTTTTTTCGCACCATTTACCTATATGTATAGTGTATGGAATTATTTTGGTAATATGAATTTAATGTATGGTATTAATTTTTTTAATTAAATTATGACGAATATCCTGTTTTTTCTTTTTTTTTTTTTTTTATAAACTAAGATTTATGCGCATTTTTACTGCCAACGGTGTCCAATTAAATGGCTTCAAAGTAATGTTACGCCAACAGAAATGGCTACGTTTTCTACTTTATTGTTAGAAATCAAATTTCTTTTATATTTTCGTGCGATTGAATTTTCTGGTGCTTACTTTTCGATGATATTTGAAGTAGCTCAAAGAGGAATTTCATTTTTAATAATATTAGGATTTATTTTATTAGCTTTTGCACATTCATTCCACCTTTTATTGCGTTATTCCATTGATCAGAATGACCCACTGAATTCGGTTACTATGGATCCTAATAGTGTAATTGAATACAACTCTTCACTCACTGAATCTTATATTGCGACTGAAAACATGTTTACAATGATGGGCTCAGCAATTTCAGCTGTTTATCTTATGCTAAGAGGTAAATTTTCAATGATTCTTTTTTCTGATATCATCAATGATGATAATAACTAACCTCTTTGATTTTTTATGCATAATAATGATACCAACTTTAAAATGCGTACAATTTAATAGGAGACACAGCACCAATTTCAAATTGAAATTTATCTGATAATCCCACTTTACTTATTTTAACGATCATATTTTCTTTTGTGGCAACCATTTACTTAATGAATTTGTTTATTGGTTTGCTAAATCTTGAGATAAACAAGAGAGTCATATTTAATTCTAAGAGCAGAAGTATGCCTTTATCAATTATTTATATTTATATACATTTTTTAAGAGTTTATTATTAATAATTATAGACGCAAATCACTAACTCTTCCCAACAATCACCTGTACCAAATTTTCTCTAAAAATAATCACTCTATTCTCTAAATTCTACTAAGTAAACCTACTTTAGCCGCCTAAGTA